GGGCTGGGAGGGGGGCAGAAGTGTTTCCCTGGTTTGGCTCAGAGTGGCTACCAGGGGAAGCTGGGAAGAACTAGCCTCCTACTAGTTTGAATTAAGTGGCTACACAGCCCTTAATTATAACTACTTAATTCGAACTAGGCGTTAGTCCTCGTAGAATGAGGTTTACCTAGTTCGAATTAAGCGCTCCGCTAGTTGGAATTAAGTTCGAACTAGCGGTTTGTATGTGTAGCGCCTATGAAAGTTAATTTGAAATAACGGCTGTTAGTGTGAATTAACTTTGTAGTGTAGACATACCCTCACAGAGCTTGTACTTCTCATCCTTTCCCACACCCAAATCCCTCATTCCCACCCCAGAGCTCGCATCTCCTGTCTCGAGCTAGTGAAAGTGTACACTGGCTGGGGATAGCAAGTGATGAACAGGAGGGGAACAGAGAGGATGAGGCCTCAAGGAAGGGGTGGAGAGTCTTGGGGAAAGAATGTGATTTTCATGCATTGGTGGGAACTTTCATGAATAGTTGGATCCCTCCCCCCCCCCCCCTTTCTTTTTTTAATTGCATGACAAACCTAGGGGTTCCTTGAAATTCTAAAAAGCTGAAATATGTTCCTCGGCCAAATAAAATTGGGAAACACTGGCGTAGAGAGTACGCTTATTAGGTTTGCAGATGATACCTAGCTGGGAGGGGTTGCAACTGCTTTGGAGGATAGGGTCAAAATTCCAAATGATCTGGACAAACTGGAGAAATGGACTGAGGTAAACAGGAAAACGTTCAATAAGGATACATGCAAAGTACTCCACTTAGGAAGGAACAATCAGTTTCACCCATGTAGAATGGGAAGTGACTGCCTAGGAAGGAGTACTGCAAAAAGGGATCTAGGGATCATAGTGGACCACAAGTTAAACATAAGTCAACAGTATGACACTGTTGCAAAAAAAGCAAACATGATTCTAGGCTGCATTAGCAAGGAGTGTTGTGAGCAAGAAACGAGAAATCATTCTTCCATTCTGCTCTGCACTGATTAGGCCTCAACTGGAGTATTGTGTGTAGCGTTATGTCAACAGAGCAAAGTTATATCGAAATAACAGCCGTCTAAACAGCCAAACTGCTATTTTGAAATTAATCAAATTATTATTATTTCAAATTTGGTAAACCTCATTCCACAAGGAATAATGCTAAATTCACAATAGCTAAATGGAAATAAGCACTGCGTAGATGCATATTTCGAAATAGGGGGCCTCCAGCCCCTTCCAGGGTGCCCTGGTGGCCACTCTGGGCACAACCAGGAAAAACTCTTCTGCTCCCCCTCCCGCCCCCAGTCCCAGAGCCCTTAAAGGGGTAGACTCTGGCCACAGTGCCTGTGCCAGCTGCAAGCTTGCCAGCACAGAGCTAGCAGTCCATGAACCTTGCCCAGCAGGAGCCAGCAACCCAGTAGCACCCAGCCTTCACTGCTCGCCAGGAGCAGGCTGGCAGCCACCAGGAGCCTGCCAGGGGCCACAAAAGGCAGGTGCCTTTCTGGTCTAGTGCAGAGATCGTGGACCTCATTGAGGTTTGGGGGCAGGCCTCCAATATCTACGATCTCTTCACTAGACACAGGAACATGGCTGTCTACAGGCTGACAGCCTGGCCACCAAAGGCCACATGAGCACCCAGGAGCAGGTGCACAGGAAAATAAAAGAGCTGTGGCAGGCCTATGCCAGGGCCTCAGGGGGCAGCTCCAACCAGGGGCTGACACTGACCCCCGCCTCTATTATGATGCAGATGGTCTGTGCCCCCCAGGTGGTCATTGACCCTAGGGTAGAGGGCCCTTCCCATGACACCGAGGAGAAGGAGCAGGAGGAGGATGGCCAGGAGCCGCAGGAGCCTGGAGGGAGCGTGCCTCACACCCAGGACCTGTAAGCCATCCCAGCAAGCCTGTCGCCAGTGACATCCGAGGCCGGGGAGGTCTCGACATGTGAGTGCCATCACTGTCCCCTTATGCAGGGCTGGGGGGGGTGGGAGAGGGAACCCAGGGACCACGCGTGTGGGGCTTACTGACCATGGAGCATGCAGCAACCTGTGCATGTGCCATGGCACCCTGGGCATGTGGCTGCCACACAGAGGCCCTGGCCTGTTAGCCACACACATGGATGTTTGAAGGCACATGACATGCTCCTGACCCTGGGGAGAGATACCTCCCTTCAGAAGCCCCCTCTATGCAGAGGCAGGGCACTTCTCCCTTTCCCCCGCTCCCCAAACCCAAACTATATATTGCCAGGGCTGGATTACCCAATAGGCAGACTAAGCACATGCTTAGGGCACCAGCAAAGCAGGGGCACCAAAAAAAAATGATATTTTACAGTATAGTATTGTTTTTATTCTGACTTACATATGGGGGGCACCATAATCTTTTCAGTGCTTAGGGCCTCTAAAGGTCTTAATACGGCCCTGCACAGGGGCCACCTCAAACTCCGGGGATAGCAGAACATGATGGTGCAGAGACTTGCCATCCTCGCCTTGCACAAGGGGGCTGGGCTTCACCCACTGTGTCCCCAGGCATAACACTTCTCGTGTTTCTCCACAGCTAAAGCAGCTGCGAGTGCAGGGCGCACCACCCCACCCAGAACAGCCTCCCGTACCTGGGCCAGCAGGCTCACCTGGAACCAGGAGGAGTACCAGTGACAGCACCTGGGGTTACTGCAAAGCCAGGAGCACTGGATGCATGAAGACTTGCAGCTGTGGCGCGAGAGCTTGCAGGAGCTGCTTGACCAGGGCCGTGCCATCCGCGAGCATCTGCAGACCTTGGTGCAGAGATTGCTGCCTGCTGAGGCTCCAGCCCCTGTGGCTGCCCCAGCTGTCACTCTGCCTCTCACTCCTGATCCTCCCCCCGTCCCACCCTCCATACCCGCTGCCCCCCGGGGACACCGAGGCCCCCGCACCCACAGTGCTGGGAGACAGGTGGACCAGCAAGACCCACAGCCCTGAGCTTCTCCTCCCCTTGCCTCTCCCTTCCAGCTCCCTCCTCCCAGGTTTCCCCTCCCCTCCCCTCGCCCACCCTCATTACCCACTCACCCCAGTTATGGTCAATAAAGAGTTTTTTTGGCAACACATGTTTTTATTTTACATCAGGAAGAGGGGTTGGGGGGAAAGTGGAAGGATGTGAGGGTGGAATAAGGCACAAGGCCCCAGTGGGGTATGCCAGGGAGACTTCATTCCTTCTCCGGATGGAAGCTCTCCCGCAGGGTGTTCCGGATACAGACAGCCCCCCAATGGGCCTCCCAGCTGGAAGACATATGGGGCTGCGCGTAGAGGCCAGCCAAGTGGTCGGCCTCTGGCATCCAGGCTGGCAGGAAAGCCCCCCCTTTCTTCTCACACAAATTATGCAGCATACAACTCGCTGCCACCACATGCAGCCACTCAGATACGTCCAGGCAGGTGAAGAGGCATCTAAAACGGGCCTTCAACAGGCCAAACGCCCCCTCCATGAGGATGCATTAAAGGCCTGTCGGGAGGGGTTGAGGTGTCCCGTGTAAGATTTCATCAGCCAGGATTATAGGGGATAGGTTGCATCCCTCACCAGGTAGACAGGCATGTTCACAACCCCGACCCTGATGTGGCGATCGGGGAAGAAAGTCCTGGCGTGCAGTCTTTGGCACACAGAGGAGTTGAGATAAACTCACGCATTGTATGTTTTGCAGGACCAGCCAGAGATTGCCATACCTGCATGAGCACTGCTCTGACGATGGATCTCCCCATGCCAAACTGGTTCCCGATGGATCGGTAGCTATCCGGCATGGAGAGCTTCCACAGGGCGATGGCCACATGCTTGTGGAGGGAAATGGCGGGCCTAATCTGCATGCCACAAAGCAGAGGCGAGCCACTCACACAGCTCAAGGAAGGTGTCCTTCTTCATCCTGAAGTTCTGGGTCCATTGTTGATCTCCCCAGCGCTCCAGGACGATGTGGTCCGACCAGTTGCTGCTGGTGTTCAAACACCAGATGCGGCGGGGCACACTGGCATCTGGGTGCTGCAGCTGCTCCTCCCCAGCCCCCAGGAGGGTCCAGAAGGGGGCCTGGGGGTTCGACTGCAGCAGATGCTCCCAGGCAGTTTCCACCAACTGCAGCCAGGTTTGCAGCAAGACATCAAAAATGAGCACCAGAATGCCCAGGGGAAACTCTGGCTCTATGGTGCCGAGTGCTGTGGTGTCCTGAGTTAGGTCCTGCTCTAGTTTTTGGACTTGCTGCTGCAAGCCTGCCAGCAATGGCTGGAGGCTGCCTGGCACCATCTGGTGCATGTCAGCCCCCTCCCCCTCCCCCTGGCCTTCCTGGGGGCCGTGGAGGAGCAGTAGCAGTGCCCAGATGCCAGCGTGCCCTGCCGCATCTGGTGCCTGGACCCCAG